GTTGATAGGGGGTCAATGGTTGCTAGAAGGGATTGACTGTTAAGTTGTTGCTGGCTGTCTGAGAGTCTGGCTGCTGGGAAATCTGTTGTTGCTGCTGGGGGTCAAATGTTGCTGGGGGTGGAATCTATTGGTGCTGGGGGGGGTCTATTCCTGCCGGCTGCGGTGGATCTATTTTATTGCTTTTCTTGATATCATCAACAAATTTCATACAAATTACTTAACTCCACAAAATTATACTTGGCTTTGTATTCTCTAAAAGGGGCGGTACTGGGAGGTGGGTAGGGGGTGGAACCAAGGGAGGGTGCTCAGAGGTGGGACCAAGGAACGGTGCTCAGAGGTGGGTAGGAGGCAGAACCAATGGACAGTGCTCAGAGGTGGGTATGGGGTGGAACCAAGGGAGGGTGCTCAGAGGTAGGTAGGAGGTGGGACCAAGGAACGGTGCTCAGAGGTAGGTAGGAGGTGGAACCAAGGGACAGTGCTCAGAGGTAGGTAGGGGGCGTAACCAAGGGACAGTGCTCAGAGGTAGGTAGGGGCGTAACCAAGGGACAGTGCTCAGAGGTGGGTAGGGGGTGGAACCATGGAACGGTGCCTGGGGGTGGAAGAAGTGCCTCAGAAGGGGGGAGTTCCTGCACCTATTCTCTGAGAAAAAAAGCCCTGGTCTCATCACTCAGCACTCCAGAGTACAGAGTCCCAGTAGTCTTCTTTTTCAGCATGGGCCCTGGCAAATAGTGACGGGCCGAACACCCTCCCCCCCCGGTTCGGTCGGTTTGTGGTTCAACATCTGAACCTGCATTATGTTCAACCGCGAACACAAATCGAACAACTGAGCGATATCTTCCTGCATCTGAGTGTGTGGTGCGATCCCGCTCAGTGACTACAATCCGGCGGGAGTTCTATGATGAAGTCACGCAGTATTTTAGTAATGAGACATTCATTCATGTTCCGGCTGTCAGTGAGGCTCCTGGTGTCAGTGGGGTCCCTGGTGTCAGTGGGGCTCCTGGTGTCAGTGGGGCTCCTGCTGTCAGTGGGGTTCCTGCTGTCAGTGGGGTTCCTGGTGTCAGTGGGGTTCCCCACGCTCCAGTACAGTTCTGTGCAGGAAAAACACTCTTTTTTTCTGCGACCGGAACGCACTAGAACTGCATTGACCACATCACCGACTTTCTGTGCATCTTGTATGCAGAAAAAAGGCAACAGAAACGCATGGAGTATGAAGCGGCCCGGAGTCTATGTTACCACTCCATGCGTTTTGCAGACTACAGTCCATTTAGCACGATTTTCTATGTGACACGTTCATATTTCCTTGTTTTCACCCGGTGTGATTTGGGAATTTAAATTGCATCTAATGAATCTGAATGTCGGCGTCGTAACACGTGAGCTTTGCTGCGGCGCCATTTCTAACATACTTCTTGCATTACTTTTTCTGCCGTTTTGTTGCAATTTCACATTTCTAATAGAAATCGCATTTGCAAGAAATCCTTGAAAATATTCACAAGACGCAACAAAGTCTTCATAAATCGCGCTGAAATCGCACACAAATCGCAAAATTTGAAATCGCAGCGGTGTGACCGCGGACTAGACGCAAAACATTGTGTTTTGGTTCAATAGACTGCAATGGAGATGCTGCAGAAATGCATGTAGTGCATTTGATGCGTTTTGCATTTGAATCTGCCCAGCAACAAGTTGGCACCCCCCCCCCATAAAAATGCATCAAAAACACACTGCAAAACGCACTGCAGAAATGAATCAAACACAAACTGCATAGGTGTGAACTGACCATTTGGAAACTTGGGCACTGCCCGAGGGCCCGGGGTCAGTAGGGGGCCCCATGAGATGCCTCTGGTCCCTTTTTCATAGGCTTTTTTGAGTGTGGCACAGACGTGTTTTTTCTGTGTGTTTGTGACGCAGCACCCCAATTGTGGGCAGAAGGCGTGTTTCACAGGGGCCCCCTGATCCCCTATTGCCTGGGGGCCCCATGAGTTGTCAGTCCGCCGCTGGATGTGAACCGACCCTTAGATGTGACGGCTGCATTAGTTTTCTTTTTTAGGCTCAATTTCTTCTATTTTCATCTAGTGATCCGGCTAGTCAATCTGTTTTTTTTTTTTTTTTCAAAAGAACAAGCTCTCCAGCAGATGTATCAGTTACATGGATGAGACAAACCATTTACCGGGCGTGCTTACAATGATCAGCTTTTACTTATCGATATAAAAACTTTTATCCCAAAAAGAGAAAAAAAAACTGTTACTGTAACCGATTATAAATATTAGCTGGAGTTTGGCTTCAATATGTTAGTGTAGTTAAATCTGCTAGTCCAACTCTCCCCTCCCCCCAGGATGACAATGCTGCCGTCTGCTGTGCCCCATGTGCTCCTACATCCAGAGTGGGGGCGCTCTAATACAGGAGGGGTGTTACAGGCCAGATCACCAGGTGAAAACAGAGGGGGGGGGGCCTAAAAGGAAAGAAAACGAATGCAGTCGCCAGGAAGAAAATCGATAAACTGCAAATCCACAGAAGCCGAACTCCGGAGTGTCGCTGAAACGCCAATATTTGTCTGGCTTGTAGCGCCCTCTGCTGACACAGTGCTCAAATGTCACTTTTGGTCTTGGAAGGTTCTCATTGGACGGTTTGTATGGGAAGGATGTTTCCTTTGATCCCAGGTCTTTCAATCGAAATCTGCTGGACAAGGATTGACAATGGAAGGAAATGCCTTGTGTGTACGACCTTCTGTGTGTGTCCGCCCACGGCCATGTGTGACCACCAGGGGGAGGGGGGGTCTGGTGTCTCTGCTGGGCATATTCACTTTCCCCTGAGATGAGGCAGAGACTTCAGGGCCCCTTGCACCTGGGGCCATCTAAGTGCTGTGTGGCCCTCCCGACATTTTAGTGCACCCAGGAGGGACAGGTGCAGCGTCATGCCCCCACCACCTGCAACATGTCAGTGTCTATGGCTGGATGGGGCTGAATGATGTTCGGGGCCCCTCTGCTTTCAAGGATGAAAGTCTGGAATGTATGAGGGACTTCTGTCGCTCCTGACCGCATAGGGCCCGCAAAGTGAGTCCCGCTGGGTACAGGCACAGGAGTTAGATGGCCCCATGTGCCGGGGCCCCAGATGCTGGATGCTGCACCTGTCCCCCCCTGGGAGCACCAAAATACAGGAAGGAAGGTACAGGAGTAAGATGGCCCCATGTGCCGGGGCCCCAGATGCTGGATGCTGCACCTGCCCCCCCCGGGGAGCATCAAAATGCAGGGAGGAAGACACAGCAGCTAGACGGCCCCTTATGTTGGGGCCCCAGACGCTGGATGCTGCACCTGTCCCCCCCCCCCCCCCCTGGGAGCACCAAAATACAGGAAGACACAGCAGCTAGACGGCCCCCTATGTTGGGGCCCCAGACGCTGGATGCTGCACCTGTCCCCCCCCCCCCCCCTGGGAGCACCAAAATACAAGAAGACACAGCAGCTAGACGGCCCCTTATGTTGGGGCCCCAGACGATGGATGCTGCACCTGTCCCCCCCCTGGGAGCACCAAAATACAGGAAGAAAGGTACAGGAGTTAGATGGCCCCATGTGCCGGGGCCCCAGATGCTGGATGCTGCACCTGTCCCCCCCTGGGAGCACCAAAATACAGGAAGGAAGGTACAGGAGTTAGATGGCCCCATGTGCCGGGGCCCCAGATGCTGGATGCTGCACCTGCCCCCCCCCCGGGGAGCATCAAAATGCAGGGAGGAAGACACAGCAGCTAGACGGCCCCTTATGTTGGGGCCCCAGACGCTGGACGCTGCACCTGTCCCCCCCCTGGGAGCACCAAAATACAGGGAGGAAGGTACAAAGTTAGATGGCTCCTTGTGCTGGGGCCCCAGAGGCTGAAGACAGCACCTGTCCCCCCCCAGGAGCACCAAAATGCAGGAAGGAAGACACAGCAGCTAGTTGGGCCCCTTGTGTTGGGGCCCCGGGTTCAGTCATACCTGGGACTCATGCACACTGGCGTTTAATGCTGCTCTTAGGAGCGTCGTGTTTTTTTTGCCGTCTCTAAACCCTCGCCATGTTAGCCTATGTGTCCATGTATGAGGAGCGAAGGCCTCATTCACACCTGAGCATGGAACGCATGTTCTCGCTGGCTTTTTGCGCATTTTTTCCCGTGTAACGCATGTTGTACCATTCCCCTGTGTGTGCTGCTCTACCCGTGTGCAACAAACGCCCCAGTGTAGCTCCAGAACATTGTAGTGCGCTTTGTTGCGTCACAAACACACGGAAAAAACACGCCTGCTGCCCACGATTGGGGTGGTGCGTCACAAACACACGGAAAAAACATGCCTTCTGCCCATAATTGGGGTGCTGCGTCACAAACACACACGGAAAAAAACACGCCTGCTGCCCACGACTGAGGTGCTGCGTCACAAACACACGGAAAAAACAACACGCCTGCTGCCCATGATTGGGGTGCTGCGTCACAAACACACAGAAAAAAAACACGCCTGCTGCCCACGATTGGGGTGCTGCGTCACAAACACACGGAGAAAACACGCCTTCTGCCCACTATTGGGGTGCTGCGTCACAAACACACAGAAAAAAACACGCCTTCTGCCCACGATTGGGGTGCTGCGTCACAAACACACAGAAAAAACACGCCTGCTGCGCACGATTGGGGTGCTGCGTCACAAACACACAGAAAAAAACACGCCTTCTGCCCACGATTGGGGTGCTGCTTCACAAACACACGGAAAAAAAAAAAACATGCCTTCTGCCCACGATTGGGGTGCTGCGTCACAAACACACGGAAAAAAAAAAAACACGCCTTCTGCCCACGATTGGGGTGCTGCATCACAAACACACGTAAAAAACACGCCTGCTGCCCACGATTAGGGTGCTCCGTCACAAACACACGGAAAAAACACGCCTGCTGCCCACGATTGGGGTAACGGTGTCATCGGTGCGGGTGGAGCAGAGATCATTGTAGGTTTTTTTTCCTCTTGTTTGATTGGTCGTTCCTCTCTGTCCCGCTCTGCAGCTCCTGGACTGAACACGGCGATGGAGATCTCGGCGTCGCGGCCCGCGCAGCGCACTCTGGGATCGGAGGAGTACAGTCTGTACAGCAGTTTGAGCGAAGAGGAACTGATACAGATGGCCATCGAGCAGAGTCTGTCTGAAGGGGGCGCCAGCCAACCAGACGTCCACAGCCAGCAGAAGAGGGCCAACGCCGAACCGACCGCCCCCAGCTGGAACCAGAGACCCGCCCACAGACCGCCTCCTCCCGCTAACAGGTGATCTCAGAACCAGGGTGTGCATTCCAAAGTGTGAGGACAAGGTGAAGCTGGCCTCCCCCCCTCCCCCCTTTATCATTTAATAAATCTTTCATTTTCATTACATACTATATTATAGACTCAGTGATGTCATCACTGGGTCTCTGTGCTTCTCTATGCAATGCAGGCAGATCGTGGCTGGTGGGAGGGGCTGGCAGGGGGATGTACATCACTTCCTGAAAACATCACAGCACCCTACCTCAGTACTCCTCTCCAGAGCTGAAATACGGCCACTAGATGGAGCTGGGGGTCATAGGAAATAAATGCATTTCAACAAGAAGAGATACATTTGAAAACATTCTAGGGAATGATCCAATAAACAGGACCCAGTAGCAGCAATGGTTACATGTATGTGATCATCCTCTTCAGCATTCTCTAGAATTGTTACATTGTATCTCTTCTAGCTAAGATGCATTTATTTCCTAGGATCCTCAGCCCCATCTAGTGGCCAGAAAGTGGTATTGTCCAGATGCACTCAGGATCATTCATAAAGAACATATAATGCACATATGACGAACATATAATGAACATATGACGAACATATAATGAACATATGACAAACATATAATGAACATATAATGAACATATAATGAACATATGATGAACATATAATGAACATATGACGAACATATAATGAACATATGACAAACATATAATGAACATATGACAAACATATAATGAACATATGATGAACATATAAAGAACATATAATGCACATATGACGAACATATAATGAACATATGACGAACATATAATGAACATATGACAAACATATAATGAACATATAATGAACATATAATGAACATATGATGAACATATAATGAACATATGACGAACATATAATGAACATATGACAAACATATAATGAACATATGACGAACATATAATGAACATATGATGAACATATAATGAACATATAATGAACATATAATGAACATATGATGAACATATAATGAACATATGACAAACATATAATGAACATATGATGAACATATAATGAACATAGCATGAATCAGGAAAATACCAAACATTGGGCAGTTGATGGAGCCGAGGATCACAGGAGATAAATCCATCCTATAATACAAGGAGAGATACAATGTAACAATTGCAGAGAACACTGGAGGGGATCAAAGTAACGGACACCGCAGCAGCAATGGTTACATTTATTTGAACATTCCCTCCCATGTTTCCTAGAATTGTTACATTGTATCTCCTCCTACTAGGATTTATTTCCTGAGATCCTCAGCGCCATCTAGTGGCCATAATGTAGAATTTTCCAGATTCGCTCTGTGCATGAAGAATGAGCCGATCTCCACTGCAGACATCGAAGATTGGAAAAGACTTTAGTGACATTTCCTTCATTGTGGAGGTGCACCCTCCCCCCCCCCTCCCCCCTCCCCCTCTCTCTCCTTCCCCCCCTCCCTCCTCTCTCTCTCCCTTCCCCCCTCCCTCTTCTCTCTCCCTTCCCCCCTCCCTCTTCTCCCTCCCTCTTCTCTCTCCCTTCCTCCCTCCCTTCCCCCCTCCCTCTCCCCCTCCCTCTTCTCTCTCCCTTCCCCCCTCACTCTCTCTCACCCCTTCCTTCTCTCTTTTTTTCCACCCCCCTTTTTCTCCCCTGCCTCCCTCTCTCTCCCTGCCCCCCCCTCCCTCCTCTCTCTCTCTCCCCTTTCTTTATTTCTCGCCCCCCCCCCACCCTTGTGTCCCTCACTCCCCCCCTTTCTCCCCTCCCCCTCTCTTCCTGCCCCCCCACTCCCTTCCTCTCCCCTCTCTTTCTTTCTTGCCCCCCCCCCCCCTCCGTGCCCCCCCCCCCTTTCTCCCCCCCCCATCTCTCAGGATACAGGAATATCACTTAATAGATCCATCAATCCCGTCATTTCGGATTCTTAATGAAATTAAGGACAGATTTGGGCACACAATGGCCGCCTCTGTGGGAATTCCCGGGTGACACCATCATCTCCTCTGTTTGTTCTGTAGCTCCGAGCAAAGAAAACAAATCTCATCAGAAAGCAGATCCTCCGAGTCCCGGAACCCGGCAACTAGAGGAACATGAAAGAGGACCTGTCATGGCTGAAGTGCAGGAGCTGCTTTACCCAAATATTTCTCCAGTCCTGCACAGGTGTACCGGCTCCTCCCCTTCAGTCTTGCACAGGTGTACCGGCTCCTCCCCTTCAGTCTTGCACAGGTGTACCGGCTCCTCCCTTCAGTCTTGCACAGGTGTACCGGCTCCTCCCCTTCAGTCTTGCACAGGTGTCCCGGCTCCTCCCCTCCAGTCCTGCACAGGTATCCCGGCTCCTTCCCTCCAGTCCTGCACAGGTGTCCCGGCTCCTCCCCTCCAGTCCTGCACAGGTGTCCCGGCTCCTCCCCTTCAGTCTTGCACAGGTGTACCGGCTCCTCCCCTTCAGTCTTGCACAGGTGTACAGGCTCCTCCCCTTCAGTCTTGCACAGGTGTACCGGCTCCTCCCCTTCAGTCTTGCACAGGTGTCCCGGCTCCTCCCCTCCAGTCCTGCACAGGTGTCCCGGCTCCTCCCCTTCAGTCTTGCACAGGTGTACAGGCTCCTCCCCTTCAGTCTTGCACAGGTGTACCAGCTCCTCCCCTTCAGTCTTGCACAGGTGTACCGGCTCCTCCCCTTCAGTCCTGCACAGGTGTACCGGCTCCTCCCCTTCAGTCTTGCACAGGTGTACCGGCTCCTCCCCTTCAGTCCTGCACAGGTGTGCTGGCTCCTCCCCTCCAGTCCTGCACAGGTGTGCTGGCTCCTCCCCTCCAGTCCTGCACAGGTGTTCCAGCTCCTCCCCTTCAATCTTGCACAGGTGTTTCAGCTCCTCCCCTTCAGTCTTGCACAGGTGTACTGGCTCCTCCCCTTCAGTCTTGCACAGGTGTACTGGCCCCTCCCTTCCAGTCCTACACAGATGTTCAGGCTCCTCCCCTTCAGTCTTGCACAGGTGTACTAGCCCCTCCCCTCCAGTCCTACACAGATGTTCAGGCCACTCCCCTTCAGTCTTGCACAAGTGTGCCGGCTCCTCCCCTTCAGTCCTGTACAAGTGTGCCAGCTCCTCCCCTTCAGTTCTGCACAGGTGTACCAGCTCCACCCCCTCAGTCTTGCACAGGTGTACCGGCTCCTCCCCTTCAGCCTTGCACAGGTGTTCCAGCTCCTCCCCTTCAGCCTTGCACAGGTGTTCCAGCTCCTCCCCTTCAGCCTTGCACAGGTGTTCCGGCTCCAGCCCTTCAGCCTTGCACAGGTGTTCTGGCTCCTCCCTTTCAGCCTTGCACAGTTGTAGAGACTCCTCCCCTTCAGTCTTGCACAGGTGTCCTGGCTCCTCCCCTGGACTCCAACATTCTGCCCATTTGGAGGCATCTATAGTAGGATTACTACCACTCCTTTATAGGCCAGCTCTCCTCCCTCCCATGGTTACTAGGGAAGCTGCGGGGGCCAGTTCCCACCACGTCCCTAGCGCCCAGTGATGTCACCGATTCCATTGTTGGCTGGGAATCCCCGACTGTGTAAAAGAAAGGGGCGGAGATAGCATGACATCACTGACCAAGTATGGCCATATTTGGGCAATCTGGTTTGGGCCATGCTGGACGCACTGGATCGGTCACGTTGGTGGGTGACTCCACTGACAGTGAGGAAGGAATCATTTTCCAATGAGATGGGCCCGTTGGTGGATGGTGGTGGTGGACCCTCTTGCAGGCTTGGGTCCAGGGATTCCCAGCCACTCCCACAATCCCAGCCAATCCCACAATCCCAGCCAATCCCACAAAACGTTTATTGATAATGTAATCATGTACATTGATCCAACGCATTTCTGCAGAATGGACGCCTTCTGTCATTTACTGTCATTTACTAGCCGAAGCAAGGGAACTGTCATTTACCAGCTGGGAAGTGTTGTTTACCAGCCGGGAAGTGTGTTTTACCAGCCAGGAAGTGTCGTTTACCAGCCGGGAAGTGTCGTTTACCAGCCGGGAAGTGTCATTTGCCAGCCGGGAAGTGTCATTTGCCAGCCGGGAAGTGTCATTTCCCAGCCGGGAAGTGTCGTTTGCCAGCCGGGAAGTGTCATTTGCCAGCCGGGAAGTGTCGTTTACCAGCCGGGAAGTGTCGTTTACCAGCCGGGAAGTGTCATTTACCAGCCGGGAAGTGTCATTTGCCAGCTAGGAAGTGTCATTTGCCAGCTAGGAAGTGTCATTTTACCAGCCAGTAAGTGTCTTTTACCAGACAGGGAAGTGTCCTTTACCAACCGGGAAGTGTAATTTACCAACCGGGAAGTGTCATTTACCAGCCGGGAAGTGCCATTTACTAGCATGGAACTTTCATTTACCAGCCAGGAAGTATCATTTACCAGCCGGGAACCGTCATTTATCAGCCAGGAAGTATTTACCAGACAGTGAAGTGTCATTTGCCAGCCATTCACACACCCTGATTGCTCAGTAAACGTCAGTGTTTCAGTAGCGTGTGCACATGGTACAGATGGTCTCTTCGCAGGTCAGGTCAGGACACCCCCCCCCCCCCCCCTCAGAGTTTTGCATTTTTAATGTTTCACTTAAAGGATCACTAAAATCTCTTCTGGAATTTTTACCAGTTTTTGGATTTAGTTCATGTCCCCCAGGACAGTGCCCAGCCCCCCACCGCCATCTGCTTGACAACCCCTTGTCTGTCTAGAAAATGGACTGAAGATTTTTGGACAGTCGTCTCCTCACCTCAACCCGCACCCCGAGGATATTTGGCTCCTCCCTACTGCTGATCCTGCTAGGAAGGTCCAGGTCCAGGCACTTCCTGGTAATGGGTGACAACTGTTTACCAATTGTTCTTCTGCGTTGTCACGCGCGCCCCCTGCTGGAGGCTACAAGGAGTGTTGCTGTTATCAGGAAGCCAATGATGCACAGCCAACGCATGTAGACAGGAAGCCGACTGACGGCGGCTGCAGAAGCTGCAGATTTCAGGGGACTGAAAACAAATTTTCCTGATTTCAGATCCATTTAGTTCTCTGCGGCGCATTACCCCCCCCCCCCCCCCCACATATGTCTTGCATTGATGTGCGTTCTGTTGGGCTGCCAACGCACCCTAAGACGAACGCTTCTTCTGCGCTGTGCGTTGTGAGGTGCTGCAATGCAGGTGTGTCGCCTTTACTGCGTTGGTGTGCCATTCAGAATGTCACATGCGTTGCTGCAACATGCGATCACACACCTAGCAAGCATTGCGGTGCCATTCATAATGAATGGCATGTGCGTCGTCGCATGTTGTGCAGCGTAGGAGTGTACACGGCTCATTAGGTCCCATTTGCTTGTTTGCGGGGTGTGTTAACGCATGTGCGGTAACATGCGATGGCTGTGCATTAACCTGCGTTGCATTACGCCAGGCCGTGTATAATGAATGGGCAGCCAATGCGCCCAAAATCACGCATGACCCTCTATTTGTAATGCTACAATGCAGGGGCTTTGCCTATGGGACCGCCCTGCAGCAACGCATGTTACGTGCATTATTGCGATGCAGGGGTGTGGCTGGTCAAAAGCAAGCGCTATTTGAACGAGCCGCTGACCATTCATCAAAACGAATGGCACTGCCGTGCATGTGATGTGCATTGTCGCGTGTTGGGGTAACGCATGCGTTACTGCGACGCAGGAGTGTAGAAGGGCCCTTAGGTCCCATTTGCATCCTTGCAGTGTGCGAACGCATGTGCGGTGAGTTGTGCATTAACCTGCGTTGCCTTGATGAATGGGTTGCCGGTGCGCCCCCATGTGCCTAAAATCACGCATGACCCTTTATATGTAATGCTGCAGTGCGGGGGGGGGCTCGCCTGCGGGACCGTCGTGCAGCAACGCAGGTTAGGCGCATTATTGCGATGCAAAGGTGTAAATGCGGCCAGGTAGAAGCAGGCCCGACCACTGGTCCATGGACCTTTATCATGGACGGTGCGCTGTGTATGGGGGGGGGGGCAGACAAAGAGGACGCACAGCTCATTGTCCTGACAGCTGCCCCTCCCCCTCCCACATGAAGTGACAGGCAGATTATTGCATATGCAATCAGCTGTACAACCCCCCCCCCCCCCCACACCAGCTGTACCCCTCCCCCCGCCACCCACAGAATGACAATGATGTACAAAATGCAGCGTCCTGGAGCAGCCAATGGGATGACAGCGCTCTGGGGGGGTCTGTTTATAACCCGGAGATCATGGGTCTATGGGGGACATAGACAATGGGGTCCACATTACTTCTAATGGCGCCATTTTAAGAGTCCTTTTGCCTTTCCAGGCCGCCATTACCCATCTGCAGAACAGTGTACATGCGTTTATATAGCGATTTTCCCCTGATCCAGCGAGGGGGGGCTAGAGATCCACCAATCACGGCATGACGGGTCCACTTGAAGACGGGGAGTCCGGCCAACCAGCGTCCCACCAATCTGATCCCGCCAGCAGAAAGGCCATAAGAATGGCTTCACATGCGTTAGCACAATACGCAAAAAATGCACGTGATGCGAATCGGGGGGCCGCGGTGCCATTCGCACTCCCCAGTCCACGGGAACGCACAACCGTCTGTTGAGGAGCACTGTCTACAGCCAGGGGCGGACTGAGCATTTGGAAACTCAGGCACTGCCCGAGGGCCCAGGGTCAGTAGGGGGCCCCATGAGATGCCCCTGGTACCTTTTTCATAGGCTTTTTTGAGTTTGGGCAAGGACACAGGGGCCCCATGATCCCCTATTGCCCGGGGGCCCCATGATCCCCTATTGCCTGGGAGCCCCATGATCCCCTATTGCCAGGGGGCCCCATGATCCCCTATTGCCTGGGAGCCCCATGATCCCCTATTGCCTGGGAGCCCCATGATCCCCTATTGCCCGGGAGCCCCATGATCCCCTATTGCCCGGGGGCCCCATGATCCTCTATTGCCCGGGAGCCCCATGATCCCCTATTGCCCGGGAGCCCCATGATCCCCTATTGCCCGGGAGCACCATGATCCCCTATTGCCCGGGAGCCCCATGATCCCCTATTGCCCGGGAGCCCCATGATCCCCTATTGCCAGGGAGCCCCATGATCCTCTATTGCCTGGGAGCCCCATGATCCCCTATTGCCAGGGAGCCCCATGATCCTCTATTGCCCGGGAGCCCCATGATCCCCTATTGCCAGGGAGCCCCATGATCCTCTATTGCCTGGGAGCCCCATGATCCCCTATTGCCAGGGAGCCCCATGATCCCCTATTGCCCGGGAGCCCCATGATCCCCTATTGCCTGGGAGCCCCATGATCCCCTATTGCCCGGGGGCCCCATGATCCCCTATTGCCCGGGAGCCCCATGATCCCCTATTGCCTGGGAGCCCCATGATCCCCTATTGCCCGGGAGCCCCATGATCCCCTATTGCTTGGGGGCCCCATGAGTTGTCAGTCCGCCCCTGCCTACAGCGGAGAAGTACATGCATGAATTTCTTAATGCGTTTTAGTGCGGTGTGCCGCTGGTAATGCGTGTTACATGCGTCATTGCGGTGCCGTACGTCGTCAGCGGCATCCCACAGATGAACCCAACGCACCTCCGACGAATGTGCAAATTTCGAATTGCGATTCTGCTTTCTGAAAACGCAGCGGCTCAAAAAAAAAACCGCATACATGTGAACGTGTCCCATAGGAAACCCTAAAAAAAACGCATTGGCGTGAACCTGGGGTAAGGCTAGGTTCACACCTGGCATTTTGTCAACATGCGTTTTTTTTTTTTTTTTTTCAATGCTTTTTATGGGGCGTTTCTGTGCCGCACACATAGGGCGGCGCATTCATTTGAACGGGCGTGTCCTACGCGCGACAAGCGCACCAAAGAAGCTATGGTACCTTTTGCTGCGTTGAGCTTCACAGGTTTTTAAACTGCGTTTTTGCTTTGGTTTTTTTTTTTTTACCTTTTTTATTTGTTGCTGGGCAGGAAAAATAAAAAAGCGCAAAACATGGCAAAAACGCAACTACATGCGTTTCAGCAGCTTCTCCATTGAACTCCATTGTAAAAAAAAAAAAATTCTGCTTTTCGCTTTCGAAAGGGTTTTTTTTCGACGTGCGTTTTTCAGGCGCTTTGACGTGCAAAATAGAAAAAAAAAAAACGCATCTGCTTACCACAGTTGGGATGCCATTAACAATGAAATGGCAGCGCCGATGCATCGCGTGAAAACGTATGCTTTTGCGCATATTCACAGAACGCTCAGATGTGAGCGCTGCCATGCGTCGCGTATATGAAAAACGCATGCTTTTGCGCATATTCACGGAACACTCAGATGTGAGTGCTGCCATGCGTCGCGTATATGAAAAACGCATGCTTTTGCGCATATTCACGGAACTTTCAGCTGTGAACGCTGCCGTGCGACTCGTATATGAAAATGTATGCTTTTGCGCATATTCACGGAACGCTCAGATGTGAACGCTGCCGTGCGTCGCGTATATGAAAACGTATGCTTTTGCGCATATTCACAGAACGCTCAGAAGTGAACGCTGCCGTGCGTCGCGTATATGAAAAACGTATGCTTTTGCGCATATTCACAAAACGCTCAGATGTGAACGCCGCCATGTGTCGTGTATATGAAAACATATGCTTTTGCACATATTCACGGAACGCTCAGATGTGAACGCCGCCGTGCGTCGTGTATATGAAAACGTATGCTTTTGCGCATATTCACGGAACGCTCAGATGTGAACGGAGCCTCATCCGCTGTCGTGCGACTCGGTCCGCTGCCTTTTTTTTTTTAATGACATGCATTTTTTTGGTGCAGTTTAGTGCGCAAGGATCTGATAGAAATGAGTCCGCTGCTCTAACGCAACGCATGTTAACACGCAAAGTTCGCTTTTGCGCGCCTACGTGGTGCGAGCGTTCGCCAGGCATGTACCTTCACGCTGTTTACAGATCGTTAGCGACACGCTGCCGGCTGGAGAAGGTAAGCAGCCCTCCCTCCCCCCCCCGGAGAGGTGACAGTCCCAGCCTCACTCCTGGAGGTGACCCCCGGGGGCCCCTTGGACCTGTCATATGTATGTGACTCCATTGTTGTCTTATATGGTCATCGAAATCCCGGCCGGCTCCCTCCCGGGGCCAAAAATAATCGCGAGCTGCGAGCAGCTGATCCCCCGCCATCTGCTTCCATTCAGAGCTTCATCACTCACACCGCCTGCCTGCCTGCCGTCCCATCACACCGCCTGCCGCCCCCCCCCCCCCACCCCGTCCCTGTCCCACCACACCACCGCCGCCGCGTCCTCTCCTCCGTCCGATATGATCTGCTTCTCTTACTCTGAATATTTCTCTCTCTTCCACGCTTGCCGACGCAGGTCGCCCCCGGGAAACGCCGCCGACGCCAACCAGAACCTCAACCCGGACCGAGGCGGGGTGATCCGCAAGAGATACGATGGGAGCTACTTCCGCACCAGCATGCCCATGTAAGTGTTGTGATTTATTATAATTGGGGGGCTTCTTCTGGATCAACATAATCGCACATCGATCGATCGGTTGGGGGCGGTCGAATGGTCTATGGGGCGCATAGCACTGAACTGAATGCGGTTTCCTACTGAGCAGCACGGCGTCCGATGACATGCAGCGATTCGCCATCGATTTAGATCCAAGCGATTCAAACAGGGCGCCATTCACACCCGAGAGTAGCGGGAACGTTCGCATTTTTTTCATGTTTTTCAAGTGTTGAAGCGCGTCGCAGCCAGGGCAGTCCAATCGCTGGAACGCACGACGATCGCTCCAAAGTACCTCCAGGACCTTGTCGGTCGGCTGTAATGCGTTTTGTCACTTGACCAATGCCTGTCCGCTACCCGCGTTTGGGGCGGCATTATCAATTAAGTGCGACCTGTGACCAGAGAGGGATTCTGAAACGCGCGGGGAATGTTTTGGCGCACTGTTAGGAAAGGCGCAGGTGTGTGAGCGCAGCCGGAGAGATCGATCACCGATTAAATTATAGACTGAATCCGAAACATCGTATCTTCTGCATCTTCAATTGTATCCATGGAATAGACGATCGATCAGCTATAAATGTAACCGATCAATATCAGGCGACTTGTGCGTGTCGGGAACGAGCGTAAAGAAATGCGCACTTTAGCAGGCATGGGGCGGGGCTAATATTTGTTAACACCCCCCACGCATCTCCTAATGCTTGCAGAAACGCACAACAAACGCAGCGAAGTGCGCGGCTAAACACCCGGAAGGCTCAATTCGTCAAAACTTACTGAACTACTTTGCTAAGAATTAATGGCGCCGCATGTGCGACCCGCGACTGAAGCGCGTTTCCGAAACGTGCGGCCAAATGCAAATTTTGTGTTTAGTCGCGCCGTGTTAGTTAGGAAAGGCGCAGGTGTGAGCGCAGATCCGTCATCGATTAAAATACTGACTGAAATCGCAACGTTGTATCTTCTGCATCTTCAATTGTATCGATGGAATTGATGATCGATCAGCTATAAATGTAACCGATCAATATCAGGCGACTTGTGCGTGTCGGGAACGAGCGCAACAATGAATGGCGTCATAAGTGCGACCAATGACTGAAGCACATTTCTGAAACGCATGGCCAAATGCACAGGAAAGGAGAAGGAAAGGCGCAGGTGTGAGCGCAGATCCGTCATCGAGTAAAGTATAGACTGACACCGCAACATCGATCGTATCTTCTGCATCTTCAATTGTATTGATGGAATAGACGATCGATCGATCATCGGCTATAAATGTAACCGATCAATATCAGGCGACTTGTGCGTGTCTGGAACGAGCGTAAAGAAACGCGCACTTTCCTAAGGCGCACAGAATTGCGCTGCACTTTAACAGAGATGGGGCGGGGCTAATATTTGTTAACACCCCCCACGCAGCTCCTAATGCTTGCAGAAACGCACAACAAACGCAGCGAAGTGCGCGGCTAAACAGCCGGAAGGCTCAATTCGGCAAAAAGCTACCTGAACTACTTTGCTAACAATTAATGTCACCGCATGTGCGACCCGCGACTGAAGTGCGTTTCTGAAACGCGCAGCTAAATGCACAATTTTGTGTTTTGCCGCGGTGTTAGGAAAGGCGCAGATGTGAGCGCAGATCCGTCATCGATTAAAATACTGACTGAAATCGCAACGTTGTATCTTCTGCATCATCATTTGTATCGATGGAATTGATGATCGATCAATCAGCTATAAATGTAACCGATCAATATCAGGCGACTTGTGCGTGTCGGGAACGAGCGCAACAATGAATGACGTCATACAGGAAAGGAGAAGGAAAGGCGCAGGTGTGCGAGGCGCCGCATCCGTCATCGAGGTAAAGTATAGACCCGACACCTGCAAGTGCGACCAATGACTGAAGCACATTTCTGAAACGCATGGCCAAATGCACAACTTTAGGAAAGGAAAGGCGCAGGTGTGAGCGCAGATCCGTCATCGAGTAAAGCATAGACTGACGCCGCAACATCGATCGTATCTTCTGCATCTTCAATTGTATCGATGGAATAGACGATCAATCAGCTATAAATGTAACCGATCAATATCAGGCGACTTGTGCCTGTCGGGAACGAATGTAAAGAAACGTGCACTTTCCCAACACGCACAGAATTGCGCTGCACTTTAGCAGGCATGGGGCGGGGCTAATATTTGTTAACACCCCTCACGCAGCTCCTAACGCTTGCAGAAACGCACAACAAACGCAGCGAAGTGCGCAGCTAAACACCCGGAAGCCTCAATTCGCCAAAAAGCTACATGAACTACTTTGCTAACAATTAATGGCGCCATAAGTGCGACCCGCGACTGAAGCGCGTTTCCGAAACGCACAATTTTGTGTTTTGGCGCGCTGTTAGGAAAGGCGCAGGTGTGAGCGCAGATCCGTCATCGATTAAAATATTGACTGAAATCGCAGCATTGTATCTTCTGCATCTTCAATTGTATTGATGGAATAGACGATCAATCAGCTATAAATGTAACTGATCAATATCAGGCGACTTGTGCGTTGGGAACGAGCGTAAAGAAATGCGCACTTTCCCGACGTGCACAGAATCGCGCTTCACTTTAGCAGACATGGGCGGGGCTAATATTTGTTATCAGCACCCCCACGCATCTCTTAACGAGCGCATTTTTTGCGCACATGAAACTGCATAGTGCTGCAATTCGCTGCGATTTTGAAAAAGTATCGTTTTAATAAACAATTGCGCATTTTTTGCACATATTTGCGAAACGCACTAACTGATCTATATCAGGCGACATAAACAAGCGTAAAAAAAGTGCACTTTTCTGACGCACACAGAATCGCGCTGCACTTTAGCAGACATGGGGCGGGGCTAATAATTAACAGCACCCCCCACGCATCTCCTAACGTGCGTAAAAAACACACAACAAACGCACACTTAAAAACCCGGAAGGCTCAAATCGCCAAAATACTACAAGAACTGCTTTGCTAACAATAAATGGCTCCGCATGTGCGACCCGCGACTGAAGTTCGTTTTTGAAACCCGCGGCCAAACGCACAATTTTGTACTTTGTCGCTTCGTTAGGAAAGGCGCAGATGTGAGCGCAGATCCGTCATCGATTAAAATATTGACTGAAGTCGCAACGTTGTATCGTCTGCGTCTTCAATTGTATCGATGGAATAGATGATCAGTTGGCTATAAATGTGACTGATCAATATCAGGCGACTTGTGCGTGTTGGGAACGAGCGTAAAAAAAGCGCACTTTCCCGACGCGCACAGAATCGATTTACTATATATTCACACTACAATGCAGTGCGGGAGAGCCGCCGCGTTCCGGTGCAACTTCCTGCACCGCATTCCAATCGCAGTGCCCTTGCAATCTGCTGCGGGGGGGTCAGTTAAAGTTCACACCCCAAACGCAGGTCACAACGCATTGCACTCGCCCGCCGCGGCCCGCAGAAAACTGCATGATAGAAAATACCGTGCGATGCGGTCGCTGTGCATATTAAAAAAAGTAGTGCATGCGGTACGTCTAGGCGTGGCTCACACCGCTGCGATTTCAGGTGTGATTTGGGAGTTGAAATCGTATCAGAAATCGCATCTAATGAATGTGAATGTCATCCGGGATTTGCTGCAACGCGGTTTCAAAGGTAGTTCTTGTGTGACTTTTTCCGCAGTTTGTTGCGATTTCATTGCGTTTTCTGAAGATTTGTTTGAGATTTCCCAGCGATTTCTTGCGTTTTGCTTTACATTTTTGCGGTGCGATTTCTAAAGTCGTTCTTGTGTGACTTTCTGCAGTTTGTTGCGATTTCACATATAGACTACAATAGAAATCGCTCTGCAAAACGCAAAGGAATAAGCAAGAAATCGCTGGGAAATCTCAAACAAATCTTCAGAAAACGCGGTGACTTTTTCCACACTTTGTTGCGATTTCATTGCGTTTTCTGAAGATTTGAGATTTCCTAGCGATTTCTTGCGTCTTCCTTTGAGTTTTGCAGAACGATTTCTATTGTAGTCTATATGTGAAATCGCAACAAACTGCAGAAAGTCACACAAGAACTACTTTAGAAATCGCATTGCAGCAATTAGTCACCGGCCCTAAACAATCCTACACCAATCCTACACCGCTCCTACACCGCTCCTACAGCTCTCCTACACCGCTCCTACACCGGCCCTACACCACTCCTCCACCGGCCCTACACCGCTCCTACACCGGCCCTACACCGGCCCTACACCGCTCCTACACCGCTCCTACACCGCTCCTACACCGGCCCTACACCGCTCCTACACCGGCCCTACACCACTCCTACACCTCTCCTACACCGGCCCTACACCGCTCCTACACCGCTCCTACACTGCTCCTACACCGGCCCTACACCGCTCCTACACCGCTCCTACACCGCTCCTACACTGCTCCTACACCGGCCCTACACTGCTCCTACACCACCACTCCTACACCGCTCCTACACCGCTCCTACACCGGCCCTACACCACTCCTACACCGGCCCTACACCAATCCTACACCGCTCCTACACCGGCCCTACACCACTCCTACACCGCTCCTACACCGGCCCTACACCGGCCCTACACCACTCCTACACCCGCTCCTACACCGCTCCTACACCGGCCCTACACCGCTCCTACACCGGCCCTACACCGCTCCTACACCGCTCCTACACCAATCCTACACCGGCCCTACACCAATCCTACACCGCTCCTACACCACTCCTACACCAATCCTACACCGCTCCTACACCGCTCCTACACCGCTCCTACACCAATCCTACACCGCTCCTACACCGGCCCTACACCGCTCCTACACCAATCCTACACCAATCCTACACCGCTCCTACACCGCTCCTACACCGGCCCTACACCGCTCCTACACCGCCCGCTCCTACACCGCTCCTACACCAATCCTACACCGCTCCTACACCAATCCTACACCAATCCTACACCGCTCCTACACCAATCCTACACCGCTCCTACACCGGCCCTACACCGCTCCTACACCGCTCCTACACCAATCCTACACCGCTCCTACACCGGCCCTACACCGCTCCTACACCGCTCCTACACCGGCCCTACACCACTCCTACACCGCTCCTACACCACTCCTACACCGCTCCTACACCGGCCCTACACCGCTCCTACACCGGCCCTACACCGCTCCTACACCAATCCTACACCGCTCCTCCACTGGCCCTACACCGCTCCTACACCAATCCTACACCGGCCCTACACCGCTCCTACACCAATCCTACACCGGCCCTACACCGCTCCTACACTGGCCCTACACCGCTCCTCCACCGGCCCTACATCGCTCCTACACCGGCCCTACACCGGCCCTACATCGCTCCTGCACCGCTCCTACACCGCTCCTACACCGCTCCTACACCGGCCCTACACCGCTCCTACACCGCTCCTACACCGCTCCTACACCAATCCTACACCAATCCTACACCAATCCTACACCGCTCCTACACCGGCCCTACACCGCTCCTACACCGCTCCTACACCGCTCCTACACCAATCCTACACCAATCCTACACCAATCCTACACCGCTCCTACACCGGCCCTACATCGCTCCTACGCCCGGAATGGGGCAATACGCTACATGAGCTACTTTGACCCATCGCATGGAAATGTGCAAAAACAAATCGCTTGTTCACAAAATGCTCGATGTGAACGGTTCCTCAGGGAATTCTTTATTCTCAGTTGCAGGGAAGTCCATTGAAATCGATTGGCTTCCCTACACACGGCGCGCCCTGTACAGGGGGAATCGAGCTGAAAGAACGATCGTTCACTCCATCTGAATCACGATCGGCTCTCCAGCACTTCGTCCAATCGATCGGAAGCGATCGCCCAAATTTCCACTGCGACCACATACTGTATATACCGGACTCCTCCTACTATATACTGTATATACCGGGCTCCTATATACCGGGGGATATGTAGGAGTCAGTGGGGGGATGTTGGTGTCACTGGGGGATATTGGTGTCACTGGTTGGGATGTGGGTGTCACTGGGGGGGATGTCTGTGTCACTGGAGGGGATTTTCTTATCATTGGAGGGAATGTTGGTGTCACCAGGGGGATGTCAGTGAAACGTGGGGATGTTGGTGTCACTGGAGGGAATGTTGGTGTCACTGAAGGGGATGTTGGTGTCACTGGAGGGGATGTTGGTGTCACTGAAGGGGATGTTGGTGTCACTGGAGGGGATGTTGGTGTCACTGGCTGATCTCACCGAATAATGTGTGAAGAGTAGAAGTCGGCCGGTGGGAGGTGTCACATTCTCAGGGATAGCTATTATTATTATAATTATTATTGCTAATAATTATTGTTAATAATTAATAATTTTATTATTTAATTGGCTAATAATTTCATAACAATAATAATAATAATAATTAACAAATGAAAATAACAAATCAGATAAATGTTAATTAATTCATTATTATGATGAATAATAATAACAATAATAGTTGATGTTATTATTATGATTATATTATTATTGTTAATTAACAATTATTTGTTCTGTAATTTAATTTATTAGTAAATTATTATTATTTAATCATTAACAAAAATAAGTAAATACAATATTTTTTAAAATTCATTTTTATTGTTAATTAACGATTGTTTAAATTATTATTAAAATTATTCGCAGTAAGAAAGAAAGTCAGGAAAAGAGTAACATAAAAAAAATGTTCACATAAATATCATTTTTTTTACCTCATTTTCTGTGTAATTTCTACTTTGTAAAAAAAAAAAATCAAATAATAATAAAATAAAGGAGGAAAATAAAACATCGGGGGTCTATTTATACAACATTTGTTGGACGAATGTCACACACATTGGTGCAGATGCCCCCCCCCCCCCCCCCGGGTTGACCTTTGACCGCTCCACCTACTGGCCAAAATGCGGTATAGTTTTGAGAGTGACCTCAAACAGAAGAAATGACCATTTTGACCAGCAGGTGGCGCTGAAACAGGATTTATTCTATTATAGAAAATACGGGAAGATTTGTCCAACGAATGTTTTATAATCCGACCCCAATGTGTGCGCCTGCAGGATATACTGGATATTACCTTGTAAAAGGAGCAGTGACATCATCGCTGTGACATCATCATCATAGCAGAGCTGTGGGAGGGGCCCAGCAGGCTCTACCCACTACAGAGAACTATGGGAGGGGGCGGAGACAAGATCAGTCACCCTGCACAAGGAGAGAGAGCAGAGCTGTGGGAGGGGCCCAGCAGACTCCACCCACTACAGGAGGGGGCGGAGACGAGACCAGTCACCCTCTACAAGGAGAGAGAGCAAAGCTGTGGGAGGGGCCCAGCAGGCTCAGCCCACTACAGGAGGGGGCAGAGACAGGACCAGTCACCCTCTACAAGGAGAGAGCGCAGAGCTGTGGGAGGGGCCCAGCAGGCTCCACCCACTACAGAAAGCTACAGGAGGGGGCGGAGACAAGACCAGTCACCCTCTACAAGGAGAGAGCAAAGCTGTGGGAGGGGCTAGCAGGCTCCACCCACTATAGAAAGCTACAGGAAGGGGAGGAGACCAGACCAGTCTCCCTGCACAAGAAGCAAGAGCAGAGCCGTGGGAGGGGCCCAGCAGGCTCCACCCACTATAGAAAGCTACAGGAAGGGGAGGAGACCAGACCAGTCTCCCTGCACAAGAAGCAAGAGCAGAGCTGTGGGAGGGGCCCAGCAGGCTCCACCCACTACAGAAAGCTACAGGAGGGGGTGGAGACCAGACCAGTCTTCCTGCACAGGGAGAGAGATCAGCAGTGGGCGGTCTTTCTTCCAGGAAGTCTCATCCCGGGGTGACGGCACACTTTGTGATGATCCCTCATTGTCTCTCGCAGAGAAGCGAACCCCATCGAGGAGATGATCATGAAGGGAGACGAGGAGGGCCTGAACAACGCCATGAAGTCCGGGAAGAGGCTGAACGTGTCCAACAAAGATGGCTGGCTGCCCATGCACGAGGCGGCCTATTATGGATCCCTGGGCTGCCTGAAGGTGTTACTGAAAGGTCTGTAGCAGCTCACAGCCCTGACACTGTATAACATGAGGAACATACCGCCTATGGCCACTAGAGGGAGCAATTCTGTGCGCTTTACCTCCCTCTAGTGGCCAAATGTGGCATTTTCTGTTATAAATCAATGACTTACATTCGAACAGAACAGGGTGTAGCCTATCCACATTCTTTTTTTGGGGTTTTTTTTTTTGCCCCATTTGCACAGAACAAATGTACGTGTATTTTTAACCGGGTAATCAACCCCTCAGGTGTATTGTCCTTGCCACTTATATTTGAATTGCCAGCTACACGTGGAATGTTGTATCCTCTATTACAGTGGGCTCCAATCTGTGGCCCGTGGGCCGAATGCAGCCCTTTGTCTGCCTCTATCCAGCCCTTGGGGTACTATTCCTCCTACTGACACCAACAAGGAGGCACCATTTCTTCCACTGGCACCAACTATGGGGCAGTTTTCCTTTCACGGACACCAAGGATTATAATAAATAATTAATAATTAAATAATAAATATGAATGAAAAAGCTGAAAAAACATAACAAATGATAAAACAGATGATAAGTTTTCTCTATTGGCTAATTAAAAAAAAGCTTTATAAACGCTGTACAAAAATGCGCAACAAAACGCCCCAAAAAATGCTCGAAAACGCAACTCTCAGGTGTGAATGCAGCCTTAGGTACACTCTACACAAATGGGCGGACTGACAACTCATGGGGCCCCTGGGCAATAGAGGATCATGGGGCCCCTGTGTCCTTGCCCAATCTCAAACCACACCCAAAAAAACCTATGAAAGGTACCAGGGGCATCTCAAGGGGCCCCCTACTGACCCCGGGCCCTCGGGCAGTGCCGGAATGGTCAGTCCGCCCCTGCTCTGCAAAATGCTCTATGTATCCCTCTTGAGTAGATTTCCCTTTACTTCCTGTTCTGGAGACCATACAGGAAGTGAGGGGAAATTTCCCCAGTGTGGGGTACATTGATAAAAATGAGCCCCTCCCCCGCTGTATCCAAAGCTGGAGTTGAGCTGTATGAGATCACAGAACATTCACCCCGAACATTCCGCTTGTTCCTTCCCGCAGCGTACCCTACGACCATCGACCAGCGCACTCTGCTGGAGGAAACGGCGCTCTATCTTGCTGCTGTGAGAGGGCACTTGGATTGCTTGCATCACTTGCTGGAGTATGGAGCCGAGCCGGACATTGTGAACAAGACGAGGGAGACTCCACTGTATAAAGGTGAGAGGTTCTAGGAACTGGTCCTATGTTAAAGCTGCCTTCCCTGGTCCCCCTCCCCCCTCATCACCATTCACTGGGTCTCTGTGCTTCTCTATGCAGCCACTTCATGCCTACATGTACCCCAGCAATGGCTGAATGGCATTTCTCAGGGTGGGTTTCCCGATGGTGACCATGTGAGTGGGCCGTGTCTGTGACGTGTGTGTTGGAATGTCCACAATGGGTGACAACCCAGGAGTGCAAGTGGGGGACAGGAACACAGCGTTGTCACCCTATAACAGGAAGTGCCTGAACAAGGATCTTCATGGCAGGATCACCAATTTTTATGACAGCTGCAGATTTAAAATGATTGAAAACGACTTTTGAACTCCGGGCAGATATAAGTGACTCAACCGAATGCAGCTCTGTATCCAAGTGTCGCTAAAGGACATTTTTTTTCCATTTTGGATAGCGTAAGGGAGGATTATGACCCCTGTCAGGTTTTTATTGCATCTGTGTCCCCATTGTAGAGATCTCCCCTTACTTCCTGCCCCATTGCACAACAGGAAGTGAGAGGAGATCCCTCCAAAGTGAGGGAATCCCGGGCTGTCTCCATCACTAGTGTCCCCATTGTAAGATTTTCCCTCTGTTCCTGTTCTGGTGACAACCAAAAATGTAGGATTTTCTTTCACTTTCAATGGCCACTGGGACAAATAAAGAAGGTGAATCTCCCTAACGGGGACGCAGACAGCAACAAAAAACAGACGGGGGGTCTAATCCCCCTCCACTCCTTCCAAAACTAACACATTTTTTTTTTTACTTTAGTGACCCGTTCATGAATGTATCATGAAATCTATTAAATCCAAGCAGTCTCTGAATGTGACCTGCATCAGCCTCTTGCAGTCCCTGTACAGCAGGGCTATAGTGAAGGAAGGAGCAGCACAAGGAGCCAGTCAATTCATGTGCTGACAGGAGGAGAGAGCGGAGTGACAGATCAGCTCATCACTGTGCTGCTTCTTCTTTCACTGTCTAGTCAAAGTATGGGGGCTCGTCCGGGACTACCTGGGCTCAGAAGAAATGAAGGATGCTGAATTTGCCTTGGCCTCAAATTTCTGTACAAGCACAGATCAGATTGCCTATTTGTGCTGCTTCTCTTTATTCCAGTCTGATCTTTGCTGTACAGAAAATTGATACCAATGCAAATTCAACATCCTTCATTTCTTCTGAGCCCAGGTAGTCCCGGATGAGCCCCCATACTTTGCCACTCTGCTCTCTTCTCCTAACAGCATGCTTCTTACAAGTACATGAACTGATTGGCTATTTGTGCTGCTTCTCTTTATTCCAGTCTGATCTCTGCTGTACAGAAATGTGATGCCAAGGCAAATTCAGCACCCTTCATTTCTTCTGAGCCCAGGTAGTCCCGGACGAGCCCCCATACTTTGACTAGACAGGGAAAGAAGAAGCAGCGCAGTGATGAGCTCATCACTCTGTCACTCTTCTCTCTCCTCCTAGCAGCATGCTTCTTACAAGTACATGAACTGATCGGCTATTTGTGCTGCTTCTCTTTATTCCAGTCAGTTCATATATGTGTAAGAAGCATGCTGTTAGGAGGAGAGAGCAGAGTGGCAGAGAGATGAGCTCATCACTGCGCTGCTTCTTCTTTCCCTGTCCAGTCAAAGTATGGGGGCTCGTCCGGGACTACCTGGGCTCAGAAGAAATGAAGGATGTTGAATTTGCCTTGGCATCAAATTTCTGTACAGCAGAGATCAGAGTGGAATAAAGAAAAGCAGCACAAACAGCCAAGCAGTTCATGTACTTGTAAGAAGCATGCTGCTAGGAGGAGAGAGCAGAGTGACAGAGAGATGAGCTCATCACTGTGCTGCTTCTCCTTTCACTGTCCGGTCACTGGCTGGGGGCAGGTCCAGGATGACCCAGGCTCAGAGGAAGTGGGTTGAATGATGCTGGCCTTTGAACTGAGGACATCTAGTGGCAGTAGAAAGTACTGCAGGGCAATAGTTGACGGTGAATATTGCAGCAAAATCTTTCTGCTTTAAGCAATGCGGGATTCTAGCGATTGGGTCGCATTTATTTTAAATTAAAATGGCGGTCAGCTGCGTTCAGCGATTTCAGTGGCTCCTTATTTAAAACGTTTCATAGAGGTTCCCCTTCAATAAATGGGACAGATCGTCCTCCTGAGCACAGCAGGTGGCAGGGGGGTCATATTGATTTGATCGTCAGCTCACGTGTCTACCGTTGTGGTTGTTCTGCGCAGCTTGCGAGCGGAAGAGCGCGGACGCAGTGCGGACGCTGGTGGCGTTCAGGGCCGACGTCAACCACAGGTGTAACCAGGGCTGGACGGCGCTGCACGAGGCGGTGGCCCGGAACTCCCTGGACATCATGGACATCCTGGTGACAGCCGGCGCCAAGGTCGAGGCCAAGAACTGCTACGGCATCACTCCCTTGTTTGTAGCGGCGCAGAGCGGGCAGCTGGAGGCGCTGCGGTACATCCTGAAGTGCGGTAGGTGCCGTTCGCCAGATCAAATCAGATCTCATAAAGGGGTGTCGGGGGGGGGAGGGGTTTACTTACTGAGCACCGTGTGAATCTAATGCTGGCCATACTGTACATTCACCTGTTACATTGTTTCAATCTCGGAACTCTTCTCCTTCTCAGGGTCCCTTCATGACGTCTATTTGCGGAAATGCGCGTCAGGTGCGTTCATGCAATGCAGATCAGTTCATTGAATGCGCTTGACGTGCATTCCACTGCAGTACCAAGAAAATGGGGACTGTCCCCAACAAACAGGGACAGGCAGCAACCAAATTCTAATGGGCCTTTGAAGTATATTTGCTGCCTGTCCCGGTTTGCTGGGGACAGTCCTCATTTTTTTGGCAGCATGTTGGCGCATTTCTGCCACCAATAGATGGAGTGAGCGAGCGCTTTGATTCAAAGCATCCATTAAAGAGAACTATGAACAAAGCCCATCCCTCTATAGTGTGTACTTGTCTCAGTCCAGAGCACTAAGCGCCATTTCTGTCTGCTGTCTCCTTCCTCTGCTATCAGCTCAGTTCTGGTAAGTTTTCCTGACACCAAGACACAAAAGGTGACAGAGAAGGGAGTTCCAGCACACAGCCTGTGATTGACAGCCTCAGCTCTGTTCCTGTGTGCTGTGTGAAGGGGTGTCCCTTTCTTCCAATCTGTGTCCTTGGTTCTACCCCCTACCCACCTTTGAGCTCTCTCTTTGTTCCACCCCCCCCACCCACCTCTGAGCACTGTCCCTTGGTTCCACCACCTACCCACCTCTGAGCACCGTCCCTTGGTTCCACCCCCTACCCACCTCTGAGCCCCCTCTCTTGGTTCCACCCCCTACCCACCTCTGAGCACCCTACCTTGGTTTCACCTCCTACCCACCTCTGAGCCCCCTCTCTTGGTTCCACCCCCTACCCACCTCTGAGCACCCTACCTTGGTTCCACCCCCTACCCACCTCTGAGCACGTCCCTTGGTTCCACCCCCTACCCACCTCTGAGCACCCTACCTTGGTTCCACCTCCTACCCACCTCTGAGCCCCCTCTCTTGGTTCCACCCCCTACCCACCTCTGAGCACCCTACCTTGGTTCCACCCCCTACCCACCTCTGAGCACCCTCTCTTGGTTCCACCCCCTACCACCTCTGAGCACCCTCCCTTGGTTTCACCCCCTACCCACCTCTGAGCACCCTCCCTTGGTGCCATGCCCTACCCACCTCTGAGCACTGACCCTTAGTTCCGCCCACTGCCCACCTACCAGTCCCGCCCCTTTTAGAGAATACAGAACCAAGTATAATTTTGTGCTGCTAAGGCATTTGTATGGAATTTGTTAATAACAAGAACAGATCTCCCAGTAGCCAGCAACAATGGCCCCCTCCCTCAACAGTAGATCTCTCCCAGCAACAATAGAAATCCACGCAAAAATAGATCCCCACCAGTGACAATAGATCCCCCAGCAGCCAGCATTAATAGACCCTCCAGCCTACCCCAGCGTCCCTTGTCATTACATATATCCAGTGCTGCGTCCCCTGACTGAATCACTCAATTAATTTCTGAACAGATATGGAAGTCGATGTCAGCTGATCACATAAAATCACTTCAGGAAACAAAAATCCTGTAAAAGCTGAATATTGTCTGTAGTCCAATCGCCTGTAACAGTCAGGCGCATGTGGTGAATGTAAAGTTTCTGGAGCTGTGTGTGGCCACGCCCCCTCCACAGCATAGCTCAGCTGTGTACTGATGAGTGGACTGTTCCTTTAACAGGAGCCGATATCAATACTCAGGCCAATGACAACGCCACCGCCCTGTACGAGGCGAGCAAGAATGGGCACGACCACATCGTGGAGTTCCTGCTGTCGCAAGGGGGCGGACGCCAACAAGCCGAATAAGGACGGATTCTTACCCATCCACATCGCCGCCAAGAAGCGGGATAATGACGAGTAAGTGCCGCCATTCCTATACTACCCAACTGGAAGCTGTTCTCTCCACCCTTCATTCCGCCTTCTCTCCACCCCTCATTCCTCCATAACTCCGCCCCTTATTCCTCCGTCTCTCCACCCTTCATTCCTCCATCTGTCCGCTCTTCATTCTGCCTTCTCTCTGCCCCTCATTCCTCCGTAGCTCCGCCCCTCATTCCTCCGTCTCTCCACCCTTCATTCCTCCATCTGTCCGCCCTTCATTCCTCTGTCTCTCCGCCCCTCATTCAGCCTTTTCTCTGCCCATCATTCCTCCATAACTCTGATCCTCATTCCTCTGTCTCTCCGCCCTTCATTCCTTCATCTCTCTGCCCCTCACTCCTTCATCTCTCCGCCCCTCACTCCTTCATCTCTCCGCCCCTCACTCCTTCATCTCTCCGCCCATCATTCCTCCATCTCTCTGGCCTTCATTCCTCCTCTCATTCCTCCATCTCTCCGCCCCTCGTTCCTCCATCTCTGCACCTCTCATTCCTCCATCTCTCTGCCTCTCATTCCTCCATCTCTCTGCCCCTCGTTCCTCCATCTCTCCTCCCCTCGTTCCTCCTTTTCTCCACCCCTAATTCCTCCATCTCTCAGCCTCTCATTCCTCCATCTCTGCACCCCTCATTCCTCCATCTCTGCACCTCTCATTCCTCCATCTCTCTGCCTCTCATTCCTCCATCTCTCTGCCTCTCATTCCTCCATCTCTCTGCCCCTCGTTCCTCCATTACTCCGCCCCTCGTTCCTCCATCTCTCCGCCCCTCATTCATCCGTCTTTTTGCCCCTCATTCCTCTGTCTTTTAGCCCCTCGTTCCTCCCTCTCTCCACCCCTCGTTCCTCCCTCTCTCCACCCCTCGTTCCTCCCTCTCTCTGCCTCTTGTTCCTCCCTCTCTCTGCCTCTCGTTCCTCCTTTCCGCCTCTCGTTTCTCCTTCTGTCCGCCCCCAATTCCTCCTTCTCTCTGCCCCTAATTCCTCCATCTGTCCGCCTCTCATTCCTCCATCTGTCCGCCCCTCATTCCTCCATCTGTCCGCCCCTCATTCCTCCATCTTTTCACCCCTCATTCCAACGTTTTTTTTGCCCCTCTTTACTCCGTCTTTCACCCCTCTCTCTGTCCCTCGTTCCTCCCTCTCTCCGCCTCTCATTCCTCCTTCTCTCCGCCCTCTCATTCCTTCATCTCTCCGGCCTTCATTCCTCCTTCTCTCCGCTTCTCCACCCCTCATTTCTCCTTCTCTCTGCACCTAATTCCTCCATCTGTCCACCTCTCATTCCTCCATCTGTCCGCCCCTCATTCCTCCATCTTTTCACCCCTCATTCCACTGTTTTTTTTGCCCCTCTTTCCTCTGTCTTTCGCCCCTTTCTCCGCCCCTCATTCTTCCCTCTCTCTGCTCCTTGTTCCTCCCTCTCTCCGCCTCTCGTTCCTCCCTCTCTCCGCCTCTCGTTCCTCCCTCTCTCCGCCTCTCGTTCCTCCCTCTCTCCACCTCTCATTCCTTCTTCTCTTCGCCTCTCATTTCTCCTTTTCTCCGCCTTTCATTCCTTCATCTCTCTGGCCTTCATTCCTCCTTCTCTCCGCTTCTCCACCCCTCATTTCTCCTTCTCTCTGCCCCTAATTCCTCCATCTGTCCGCCTCTCATTCCTCCCTCACTCCTCCCCTCGTTCCTCCCTCTCTCCACCCTTCATTCCTCCTGGGTGTCCCTCTCTGTGGTCTGATGTGTAGATTTCTATATACAGTTTAAAGATCTCCTATACACAGAGAGGGCTCATTCACAATAACATTACCAGCTCCTGATCATGTGATCACAGTGATAGCCAATCACTATCCAAACAAAAAAATGTTTTAGGCCCCACCCCCTGCACTGCTTCCCCTCTATGTGGATATATTGTAACTTTTTCTGTGTAGAAATAAAGATACAATAATTCTTTCCGAACTGGATCCAGGTCAGGCTGCGTTCCCGCTGTCGGAGCGCACGTGCAATTCTGCTGGTCACATGCAGGGCGGCTCATTCATTTGAATGGGCTGCACTATGTGCAACAAACACTCTGAAGACGTCCCCGACCCTTTTTAGAAATTGCGTCACACCGAACGCAAGAACTCATGAAAACGCGCAAAATTACAGATGTGTGGGGGTGACGGGTATAAAAATGCCCGAAACTCAGGTTCCCAGAGAAGTGTATTTGTGCTTTTTACATGGTGGTTAGAAAAAACTTTGCTGGGTACCATGGATGTAAGGAGGGACTCTGCTGGGTACCATGGATGTAAGGGGGGACTCTGCTGGGTACCATGGATGTAAGCGGGGACTCTGCTGGGTACCATGGATGTAAGCGGGGACTCTGCTGGGTACCATGGATGTAAGGGGGGACTCTGCTGGGTACCATGGGTGTAAGGGGGGACTCTGCTGGGTACCATGGGTGTAAGGGGGGACTCTGCTGGGTACCATGGATGTAAGGGGGGACTCTGCTGGGTACCATGGATGTAAGGGGGGACTCTGCTGGGTACCATGGATGTAAGCGGGGACTCTGCTGGGTACCATGGATGTAAGCGGGGACTCTGCTGGGTACCATGGGTGTAAGGGGGGACTCTGCTGGGTACCATGGATGTAAGGGGGGACTCTGCTGGGTACTATGGATGTAAGGGGGGACTCTGCTGGGTACCATGGATGTAAGCGGGGACTCTACTGGGTACCATGGATGTAAGGAGGGACTCTGCTGGGTGCCATGGATGTAAGGAGGGACTCTGCTGGGTGCCATGGATGTAAGGGGGAACTCTGCTGGGTGCCATGGATGTAAGGAGGGACTCTGCTGGGTGCCATGGATGTAAGGGGGGACTCTGCTGGGTACCATGGATGTAAGGGAGGACTCTGCTGGGTACCATGGATGTAAGGGGGGACTCTACTGGGTACCATGGATGTAAGGGGGGACTCTACTGGGTACCATGGATGTAAGGGGGGACTCTACTGGGCACCATGGATGTAAGGGGGGACTCTACTGGGTACCATGGATGTAAGGGGGGACTTTGCTGGGTACCATGGATGTAAGGGGGGACTCTGCTGGGCACATATGGATGTAAGGGGGGACTCTGCTGGGCACATATGGATATAAGGGGGGAGCACTGCTGGGCACATATGGAAGTAATGGGGAACTCTGCTGGGCACATATGGATGTAAGGGGGGACTCTGCTGGGCACATATGGATGTAAGGGGGGACTCTGCTGGGCACACATGGATGTAAGGGGGGACTCTGCTGGGAACATATGGATGTAGGGGGGGACTCTGCTGGGCACATATGGATGTAAGGGGGGACTCTGCTGGGCACACATGGATGTAAGGGGGACTCTGCTGGGCACACATGGATGTAAGGGGGACTCTGCTGGGCACATATGGATGTAAGGGGGGACCCTGCTGGGCACACATGGATGTAAGGGGGGACGGGACTCTGCTAGGCACACATGCATGTAAGGGGGGGGGGCTCTGCTGGGCACATATGGATGTAAGGGGGACTCTGCTTGGCACACATGGATGTAAGGGGGGGACTCTGCTGGGCACACATGGATGTAAGGGGGGGGGGACTCTGCTGGGCACACATGGATGTAAGGGGGACTCTGCTTGGCACACATGGATGTAAGGGGGGGGGGGCTCTGCTGGGCACACATGGATGTAAGGGGGGACTCTGCTGGGCACACATGGATGTAAGGGGGGGGCTCTGCTGAACACACATGGATGTAAGGGGGGGGGGCTCTGCTGGGCACACATGGATGTAAGGGGGGACTCTACTGGGCACCATGGATGTAAGGGGGGACTCTACTGGGTACCATGGATGTAAGGGGGGACTTTGCTGGGTACCATGGATGTAAGGGGGGACTCTGCTGGGCACATATGGATGTAAGGGGGGACTCTGCTGGGCACATATTGATGTAAGGGGGGACTCTGCTGGGCACACATGGATGTAAGGGGGACTCTGCTGGGCACACATGGATGTAAGGGGGACTCTGCTGGGCACATATGGATGTAAGGGGGGGGGGACTCTGCTAGGCACACATGCATGTAAGGGGGGGGGGGGCCCTGCTGGGCACACATGGATGTAAGGGGGGGGGGGACTCTGCTAGGCACACATGCATGTAAGGGGGGGGGGGGCTCTGCTGGGCACATATGGATGTAAGGGGGACTCTGCTGGGCACACATGGATGTAAGGGGGGGGGGGGCTCTGCTAGGCACACATGCATGTAAGGGGGGGGGGCTCTGCTGGGCACATATGGATGTAAGGGGGACTCTGCTGGGCACACATGGATGTAAGGGGGGGGGGGGGGGGGCTGCTAGGCACACATGCATGTAAGGGGGGGGGGGGGGGGGGGCTCTGCTAGGCACACATGCATGTAAGGGGGACTCTGCTTGGCACACATGGATGTAAGGGGGGACTCTGCTGGGCACACATGGATGTAAGGGGGGGGGGGGGCTCTGCTAGGCACACATGCATGTAAGGGGGGACTCTGCTGGGCACACATGGATGTAAGGGGGGGGGGGGGGGGGGGGGGGGGACTCTGCTGGGCACACATGGATGTAAGGGGGGGGGGCTCTGCTGGGCACACATGGATGTAAGGCGGGGGGACTCTGCTGGGCACACCTAATGCAGCCCCCACATGTAAGGAGTGGTGATCTTCTCTATGACACTTCTTGTCCGGGGTTCAGATCCAGGCTCAGGGCGCCCCTCTTTCCCATCTCATACCATTGGGAGGAATGTTCTCCCGTGGCCTCTGCGTTGTGATCTCAGCCTCCACCCCCCATCCCCCCCCCCTCCATATTCCATGCTTGGGGGAAGAGATTAGGCTGACAGATCTTACAAGTAATGAGTAATGGATCTGGCACTGAAAACACTAACAGCAGCTCCTGCACTGGGGGTCCGATGTCACTGCTCAGGAATCTCAGGCGCTTCACAACTGCAATCTGCTTCTCTATCAGCCCGAGGCAACCTGCTGACCTCCATCTGGGGAGGACCAGCGAGGAGCCATGATGCTGGGACTTGCAGTTCCTCCATGGCTGGAAAAGTATGCGTTCTGTAAACCCTGACGATGGACTTCTCTTGGTGTGATGCGGTTTGGCCGCAGCGCGTGCATTTAGCCGCAGTTCCATCAATTTTCCGTCACATCGCAAGTTTTTGCTGCATCTTTGCACTTTCAGAAAACGCGGCACAAAGACGTCATCGAAGGCCGAGACGATTTTCAAAACGCGATTTTCTGTGTCGCATAGGGCCGGCTTGTTCACTTGGATGGGCTGCCAATGCGCTTTTGTCGTCCCAAAAGAAGCTCCTCCTCCTCTTCAGGCAACAAGCTTCATGGGATTCTGAAAGCTTTGCAATGATTGTGGCACAATCGCATCGCGTTTGGGATGCCACTAGAGAATTATGGCACCCAAAAGCACGTTCTGCAGGTATTTGGGATCGCAGGCGGAATCGCAGAGATTCTGCCCGCGATCCCAAATCGCGAGATATGAATGGGGCCCCATAAAAAGTCCATGGGGCCGCCGCTAAAACCACAGGTAGCAAGCAAAAAACGCAGAGATACCCGCGCTGCGGCCAAAGTACAGTGTGAAGCCCAGCTTATTAGTTAGGCCCCGTTCACGTAGCGTTCTCAATCGTGATCCTCAAATTGCGATTCTCACATGATTCCACGTGTCACGCATAGGACAGCCCAACCTGGAGGGGCTTTTAAAGCACCGCCTATGGAAAGTATAGGGGACTGAAGTTTGCCGCCGTTTCACGGGCGCACGCAATTTTAATGTTTGACATGTTCGGTATCTATTTACTCGGCACCATGTACTGTTCCCCGTTTACATCCCGCATTCTGTCTATTTCCGATAGGATCGTGTCCATGCTGATCCCGGTGACGAGCCGCACGCGGGTGAAGAGGAGCGGAATAAGCCCCCTGCACATTGCGGCCGAACGCAATAACGACGACATCCTGGAGGAACTCATTGAGGCCGGCTATGACGTCAACTTCACGCTCTCCTTCGACCGCGCCAGGCTGTACGAGGACAGACGCAGCACCGCGCTTTACTTCTCCGTCATGAACAACAACATTTATGCCACCAGGCTGCTCCTGGAAGCCGGCGCCAACCCTAACGTGGACATCCTCAACCCGCTGCTCATCTCCATCCGACACGGCTGCCTGACCACCATGAGGCTGCTCCTGGATCACGGCGCCAATATCAACGCCTTCATCGCCTCCCCACCCCACCTCCTTCCCGGCCACCATCATGTTCTCCATGAAGTATCTCAGCTTGTTGAAGTATCTCATGGATCTCGGCTGTGACGCCGACTCCTGCTTTCAATGCGAATACGGAAACGGACCGCACCCGCCTGTTGAGGATGGGAGACGCCGCGACGACGATCCCCAAAACCAAAAACAGCCCAAAATCGTTCAGGTACGAGTTTTCCTGGTATTTCTACTCATTATATTGCATTTTAATTAAAGTAGAAACCTCGTTCGCAGGGGGGTCCTACAGCGTGTGCCTGTGCGGGGGGGGGGCATGATTCCCCACACCAAGACATCAGAGGTCCTCCCATCACATCAGAGGATCCCCCCACCACATCAGAGGTCCTCCCATCACATCAGGGGATCCCCCCACCACATCAGAGGTCCTCCCATCACATCAGAGGTCCTCCCATCACATCAGAGGTCCTCCCATCACATCAGAGGTCCTCCCATCACATCAGGGGATCCCCCATCACATCAGAGGATCCCCCCATCACATCAGAGGATCCCCCATCACATCAGAGGATCCCCCATCACATCAGAGGATCCCCCCACCACATCAGGGGATCCCCCATCACATCAGAGGCCCCCCATCACATTATGGGATCCCCCATCACATCAGAGGGTCCCCCCATCACATCAGAGGATCCCCATCATATCAGAGGATCCCCCCCCATCACGTCAGAGGATCCCCCCATCACACCAGAGGATCCCCCATCACACCAGAGGATCCCCCATCACACCAGAGGATCCCCCACATCACATCAGAGGGTCCCCCCATCACATCAGAGATCCTTTCATTACATCAGAGGATCCGCCAATTATGTCAGAGTCTCCCCCATCACATCAGAGGTCCCCCCATCACATCAGAGGTCCCCCAATCACATCAGAGGTCCCCCAATCACATCAGAGGTCCCCCAATCACATCAGAGGTCCTCCCATCACATCAGAGGATCCCCCCACCACATCAGAGGTCCTCCCATCACATCAGGGGATCCCCCCACCACATCAGAGGTCCTCCCATCACATCAGAGGTCCTCCCATCACATCAGGGGATCCCCCATCACATCAGAGGATCCCCCCATCACATCAGAGGATCCCCCATCACATCAGAGGATCCCCCATCACATCAGAGGATCCCCCATCACATCAGAGGATCCCCCCACCACATCAGGGGATCCCCCATCACATCAGAGGCCCCCCATCACATTATGGGATCCCCCATCACATCAGAGGGTCCCCCCATCACATCAGAGGATCCCCATCATATCAGAGGATCCCCCCATCACGTCAGAGGATCCCCCCATCACACCAGAGGATCCCCCATCACACCAGAGGATCCCCCATCACACCAGAGGATCCCCCACATCACATCAGAGGGTCCCCCCATCACATCAGAGATCCTTTCATTACATCAGAGGATCCGCCAATTATGTCAGAGTCTCCCCCATCACATCAGAGGTCCCCCCATCACATCAGAGGTCCCCCAATCACATCAGAGGTCCCCCAATCACATCAGAGGATCCCCCATCATATCAGAGGATCCCCCCATCGCATCAGAGGATCCCCCATCACATCAGAGGTCCCCCCATCACATCAGAGGTCCCCCAATCACATCAGAGGATCCCCCATCATATCAGAGGATCCCCCCATCGCATCAGAGGATCCCCCATCACATCAGAGGTCCCCCCCCATCACATCAGAGGATCCCCCATCACATCAGAGGTCCCCCCCCATCACATCAGAGGATCCCCCATCACATCAGAGGTCCTTTCATCACATCAGTGGATCCCCCAACATATCAGAGGATCCCCCATCACATCAGAGGTCCCCCCCATCACAGAGGATCCCCCCATCACATCAGAGGTCCCCCAATCACATCAGAGGATCCCCCATCATATCAGAGGATCCCCCCATCACATCAGAGGTCCCCCCCCATCACATCAGAGGATCCCCCATCACATCAGAGGTCCTTTCATCACATCAGAGGATCCCCCAACATATCAGAGGATCCCCCATCACATCTGAGGTCCCCCCCATCACATCTGAGGTCCCCCCCATCACATCAGAGGATCCCCCCATCACATCAGAGCCCCTCCCATCTCATCAGAGGATCCCCCCATCGCATCAGAGGATCTCCCCATCGCGTCAGAGGCCCCCCATCACATCAGAGGATCCTCCATCATATCAGAGGCCCCCCCATCACATCAGAGGTTCCCCCATCACATCAGAGGTTCTTCATCACATCAGATGCCCCCCATCACATCAGAGGTCTCTCCATCACATCAGAGGTCCCCCAACACATTAATGCCCCCCATCACATCAGAGGATCCCCCCATCACATCAGGGGATCCCCCCCCCCCATCACATCAGAGGATCCCCCCATCACATCAGAGGATCCCCCCCATCACATCAGAGGATCCCTCCATCAATTTGGAGGTCCTTCTATCACATCGGAGGGTCCCACCCATCACAACGGAGGGTCCCCCATCACATCAGAGGGTCCCCCATCACATCAGAGGGTCCCCCCATCACATCAGAGGGTCCCCCATCACATCAGAGGTCTTTCCATCACATCAGAGGGTCCCCCATCACATCAGAGGTCCCCCATCACATTAAAGTCCCTCTGATCACTTCACAGTCCCACGACCACCATCACATCAGAGGGTCCCCCATCACATCGGAGGTCCTTCCATCACATCTGAGTCACCCCCATCACATCAGAGGTCCCCCCATCATATCAGAGGTCTCCCCATCACATCAGATATCCCCCCCCATCACATCAGATATCCCCCATCACATCAGAGGGTCTCCCCATCACATCAGAGGTCTCCCCATCACATCAGATATCCCCCCCATCACATCAGATATCCCCCCATCACATCAGAGGGTCTCCCCCATCACATCAGAGGTCTCCCCATCACATCAGATATCCCCCCATCACATCAGAGGTCTCTCCATCACATCGGATATCCCCATCACATCATAGAATCGTCTCATCACATCAGAAGCCCCTTCCTTCCCATACATGGCTCCTGTACATTCTAGCCCTCCCCTATACATGTGTGCAGCCATGGTGAGACTTACCCCCCTGTTGCTTTCAGCAGCCACTACTGCCCGCTAGTCATGACACATACAAGTGAATGGGGCCGCTCTGCAATCATGTGCAATGCATGCGGTCGTGCTGCACATGTGTGGGGTCCAAGGGGTTAAAGCAGGTGATGAGAAAAATATACAGTGCCCCCTCACTCATGTCATATGCACTTTGAAGAACGATTCAAATGCGGATCACTCTTCAGACAGCTATGCTAGTGTGAGTGAGCCCTGATCTCCCCTCCCCCTGCCACAGGACAACCCAGAGATCAGACCTCCACATCGTGTCTGACTCTATATATAGAACACGCCAAAAACATGAGACTGGATCGTGAGCAGGGGCGGACTGACAACTCATGGGGCCCCGGGCAATAGGGGATCATGGGGCCCCTGGGCAATAGGGGATCATGGGGCCCCTGTGTCCTTGCCCAAACTCAAAAAAGCCTATGAAAAAAGGTACCAGGGGCATCTCATGGGGCCCCCTACTGACCCCGGGCCCTCGGGCAGTGCCCGAGTTTCCAAATGGTCAGTCCGCCCCTGTACATGAGAACTTCATTTATCCCATCTAAGGATTTCCCATCTGAAGGATCCATTGTGGGGTTGGGATATATTTCTGAGTGGGGGGGGGGGGATGGGAGCACGCCTAGCTGTAGATTGCAGGCACGGGTGGACCAACCATGAGCAGGAATACTAATTTTGTATAATTTTGGGTGTTGGTGGGGGGGGGGGGGGGGGGGCACCCACAAAACCTGGTCAAGGTGCGTTTTTGAAAATTCTGGCCATGTTTTAGATGGTTGATGGCCCATCCAACACGTTTCAGGTTTTTTGGTCGCCTTCTTCAAAGTTCTGCGATTATATTAGTTTGGATCCACCTAACGACTGGATCTTCTATAAGTTGGAGCATTAGTGGCCTTCAATGTAGTCTTCCTCCATGGCTGCTTGTCACCAGGACAGGAAGTGAGGGCAAATCTCCCCAACGGGAACATAGAGAAGGGTTCTAACCCCTCCACACTCCATTCAAAACTAACATTCTGGGCTTTGCCAACCATCTTTTGTGGACTGTTGTATGGAAATTAGATTGTCAGCTCTTCAAGGCCAGGAACTGATTGAAATGGATCAGCGTTGGGTGCTTACAATGGATCCATTTGGTGATTGGTCTGTTTTTGCCTCTTTAGTTTTGTGAGATGGTGTCCACCCCGGAGCTCAGCCGCTGGGCCGGTCCCATCATTGACGTCCTCCTGGATTATGTAGGAAACGTCAAGCTCTGTTCGCGGTTGCAGGAACATTTGGACAGCTATGCGGACTGGGAGTGCATCAAGATAAAATCACGTAAGTGTATCGCTCGTTGGCTGGGGGCAAGCAAAGGTGTAAACATACAGCGTGAACATACAGAGTGAACATACAATAATCAACACGCGTGCATATAATGTGAAAGGTTAGCAAGAAGGTTCAATCCAGGATGGACCTTCAGTGGCAGAACTTCATCAGGAAAGGAACCACTCAAACAGTACATGTCCTCCACCAAGAATCACTCTGAGGCTTACCTATGTGCAGGGGCGCCCCTAGGGTGGGTGTCACCCGGTGCGGTAACACTTGGTGACACCCCCTCCGACGATCCCCGCAGAATGGATCGGATTTGCGGATTGAGCATAATGGATCGGACTCTGATCCATTATGCTCCCCAATCCGCAGATCCCATCCATCCAGCGGGGATCATCGGATTTCTTTACAACTTACCTTTTCGTGGAGCGGGTCCGGTGTCACCCCCGTATACGTTGCATGCCGATGATCCCCGCAGGATGGTTCGGATCTGCGGATTGGGGAGGATAATGGTTCGGACTCCGATCCATGATGCTCCCAAATCCGCAGATCCCATCCATCCTGCGGGGATCGTCAGCTTGCTTTACAACTTACCTTTTCGTAAAGCAGGTCCGGCGTCACCCCATGCGGTCGGTGTCTCTCGGTGCGGACCGCACTCCCCGCACCTGCCTCGGGACACCACTGCCTATGTGCATCCAACCCTCAGAGAATTCACAAACCGTGCCGCTTGATAAACTGCAGACCACAGATCAGCGACCCATGCGATTCCTCTGCAGCAATCAACGCATCAAAAGGGTTCACAATAACAAATTTGGCTACTATGTTTATTAAATCAGTTAAAAGCACTGACAAACAAGGAGCTTGAAAAACAGCATCACACAGGACATATCCCGGAATTCTCAGCAGTGCTCGTGCATGCGTAATGACGTTGTGGTTTCTGACTCTGCCCAACGCATGTCGTCAGAGATGACGTCATCAGGAGCACCTGAAATTTTGTATTTCGAGGGGATCCTTCTGTAGCTTTACTAGTCTGCAAGAAGACGTTTTGACAAAATAGGTAGTGCGTGTGCATGCGTAATAATTTATTGGCTTCTAGTCCGCCCCAACGCATTTCATCAGAGATGACGTCATCAGGAGCACCTGAAATTTGGTATTGGAGGGGATCCTTCTGTAGCTTTACTAGTCTGCAAGAAGATATTTTCACAATATAGAGCAATAGTATCACTTTTTCACAAAAGCTTTCCCTTTTTTTTTAGTTAAAAAAAGCCACCCATGAGCTCCACACAAGTGGCTTTGCTTAGCCTGCAGGCAGGAGGAAGCATTTCCTCAGTCTCCGGCGATCACACCAACATTGCAACCCTGAGAGATGGGAGGCTGCAGCAGGGGCTGATCCGTGTCAGACTTTTGAGAACACAGACAGGAACTTCACGGGCACTAGGATTTACAGAATTGCATTATCTTAGATTCGCCATCTCAGTCCAGGAAGTAAATCATGACCCTGGAGGATGGTGCTGTCTTCCAGAAGAGAAAAGCTGATGAAAGAAAGGTGGGGGGGGGCGGTATTGTGATCTTGTCAGGGGGAGTCGTTACTAAGCATGAGTGTGCTTAAAGTGTTACTAAACCCCGGACCCCGCATTCCCTATATCCCCTCTCCCCGGACCCCGCATTCCCTATATCTGCTCTCTTCGGACCCCGCATTCCCTATATCCCCTCTCCCCGGACCCCGCATTCCCTATATTCCGCTCTCCCCCGGACCCCGCATTCACTATATCCGCTCTCCCCGGACCCCCCGCATTCCCTATATCCCCTCTCCCCGGACCCCGCATTCCCTATATCCGCTCTCCCCGGACCCCGCATTCACTATATCCGCTCTCCCCGGACCCCGCATTCCCTATATCCCCTCTCCCCGGACCCCGCATTCCCTATATCCGCTCTCCCCGGACCCCGCATTCACTATATCCGCTCTCCCGGACCCCGCATTCACTATATCCGCTCTCTCCCCGACCCCGCATTCCCTATATCCCCTCTCCCCGGACCCCGCATTCCCTATATCCCCTCTCCCCGGACCCCGCATTCCCTATATCCCCTCTCCCCGGACCCCCGCATTCAGTATATCGCTCTCCCCGGACCCGCATTCACTATATCCGCTCTCCCCGGACCCCGCATTCACTATATCCGCTCTCCCCGGACCCCGCATTCACTATATCCGCTCTCCCCGGACCCCGCATTCCCTTTATCCGCTCTCCCCGGACCCCGCATTCACTATATCCGCTCTCCCGGACCCCGCATTCACTATATCCGCTCTCCCCGGACCCCGCATTCACTATATCCGCTCTCCCCGGACCCCGCATTTACTATATCCGCTCTCCCCGGACCACGCATTCACTATATCCGCTCCCCCGGACCCCGCAATCACTATATCCGCTCTCCCGGGTGACCCGCATTCACTATATCCCGTCTCCCGGACCCCCGCATTCACTATATCGCTCTCCGGACCCCGCATTCCCTATATACCCGCTCTTCCCGGACCCGCATCCCTATATTACCGCTCTCCCGGCCCGCACTTCACTATATCCGCCTCTCCCCGGACCCCGCATTCCTATATTCCGC